GAGTTTCTGGAAGAGGCGACCCGGCCCTGGCCCGAGGGGACCTGCCTCCCGGAGACCCCGCGACTGGGTCGCCCCGCCCCCGACGGGCAGAGAGAAGGCAAGCTGAGGAAAAAATACACTGTTTATTACTCACTCGAAATGTCACATGTGCTTTTAAAAATTAAAACTCTTTATTTAAACATTTCAATAGCATCTTAATCAACTTGGTGGCAGCAAAAGAAGCACTACCAAAGACAAGTATTTTGAAAAGCGTTTACAAAAATACATCGCACAAAGTCCTAGCCTGCATCTTTAAAAATAAATTAATATTCAAAATATTTCCACCCCAACTCCCAAATTTAGTTTTTTATATAGGAAATTTTAATTTATATATTTATCCTGTAATATATGAAACATCTGTATACATTTTACCCAACTTAACTGCATAGGCATGAGTTCCAAATCTAACAAGAGTGAAAAAATGCTACTTTATGTATTTCTGTATTTTGAGGACTGTTGTGCAATATACATAAAACTCCTCAGAAAACCAGTCAGCACCATCTTTTTACTTTTTCTGAAAATACAAGTATGGTACACCAAAAAACTCTTAACCCAGTAAAACTTAAATAATTTTTAAGGTAAAACATCTGTAACACTTTGAGTGCCTTGCAGATATCTCATTTATAAAGTCTGCTCAGTAAAATATTCTAAGTATTAAATATTAATTATAACCAAAACATGTCTCACAGGAATTAGAGAGCGGACCACAGTAGCAGCAACCCAAGGCCAGCCCCACCCAGCGCCAGGACAAGGTGCTGCTGGAAAGATGGAATCGCCACATGGAGTGGTTTCATGAATTTGCCACACTGGACAATCTCCTCTGATAACGTTACACCAGTGGAATAAAAACATAAGCCTCTGAAAGATTTAGATCATGTTAGTGTTTGCTTTTCAGCAAAATTCAAAACAGAACCTGAAAACATCCAGGAGAGAGAATTTCTTGGTTCCTATTCATAGTGTGAAGTGAAAGCTGCAGGGGAAGTCTGCCGGGATGAGCCCAGGGGAGACCTGAGAATCTGTTCACGCGCTTGTCTGGATCCAGGCCAGCCGCCTTCCGAGCAGACCCACTTCAGCCTGCAACAGGCGGGGCTCCAGGATTCCTGGCTGGTTAAGGCAGGCCACGTCCTGACAGAAGAGCCTCCTCAGGAGGAGCACACTGAGCAGAAGCCCACAGGTTCTGTATTTCCCCACCTGGCGACTTAAAATAACTACTGGTGCTGAACTGGGGGCAATCTCACCCCAGAGGAAGGGGGATCAGAGCTCTGAACTTTGGTGACCTTGTTCTTCCCTGAAAGAGACGTGCGGGGCTGAACAGATAAACGCCATCTGCCCCAGGAGTCCTTGTAAAGGGCCAGTGAAAGGCCAGGCCATCACGGCTTCAAGAACACTTCCAACCTCTTAACTTCTGCTTTGTTCCTGATGTCAAGCAAATACAAATATAAAGAGCTTTATGTTCACAAACAAATCCCCCACCCCCCAAAAGCAAGTGTCTTTGTGAACCATACATTCAAATGAATTTCCAGAGGTCACCTGCAATGACGGGCCCCCGCACACCCGGCACGCAGCATGCAGTGTTTCCTGTGGACAGAAGAGGGAGCGGGGGGTCAGAGCAGTGATCACGTCCATGTCTGTGCCCTGCCAGCAGCCGGCAGCATTGAATGAAGGGTAACGCTGTCCTGCTGTCGGCGCCGGCATTCACAGAGGGTCCCAGTGTTCCAGGCCGTCCCAGTATATACAGATGTGCGAGCGCGGGCATGCTCTTTACTTGATAGGTTCTCCATGGACTCTGAACCGATAAAGACACGTGTATTCAGGATGGCCCCAATTAGAAAAAATCCGAAGTTCCACTATCTGGAAAGCTCCTTCAGGTCTTTTCTGAAATCGAAGTGGGGAAAAAAATCATACTCACTTCACGTTAACACCCCCAAGCCCAATCACTCCCAGCTATGACATCTGACTCAAGCAGCCCAGCTGGAGGTGAAGGTTTTCAACGTGAGCTACATCATCTTTCATACACAGAGCTCAGAAATCCGAGGACTCCCTACGTCTGACACTTCTATAAAAGCCCAATGTACACTACGGAGGCCCTTTCAGGAACAGAGAGGCCAGGAAGCGCAGACCAGGTCCTTGGAGGCTGGGCCTCAGGCACCGTGGGAAGTCCTGTTAGCCTCACCGTGTCCTGGCGGTGCGAGGTCCTTACCGGGGTGGGGAACGTCTGCAGGGACTCCCCGTCTTGGTCGTAGGTAAACTGCCCCAGGAGCTGTCCCTCCTCTTGATACTCACTTTCTAACCCCTGAAACAAAAGCACACAGCCTCTAAGTACAGGGACACGCCCACGAGCCAGCTGGGACCGCGGACGTGGGGAAAGGGCCCCTCCGGTGCAGCAGGGGCGCCGGACATCCTGCCGAGGGCTCCGCGCAGACACATCCCCAAGTGCACGAGGTGGGCGCCGCTGCTCCCAGGACACCAGAGGAACACCGAGGCTGAAAGAGGGCCCACGGGCAGGTGGCGGAGAAGTGACTGTCTGACTGCGCAGACCGCGTCACCCATGTGGCCCCCTGTGCCCTCCCGCTCCCAATTGGAGAACCAGGTCCCCAGTGAGCAGGTCAGCAGCATACAGGGCCCAGAGAAGGTCAACTCACACAGACAGAAGGTAGAGGGAAGGGGCCAGGACCGGGGAGAGTCAGCGTTTAACGGGACAGTCTCAGTCTGGGAAGATGGAAGGTCCTGGAGATGGTGGCAGTGATGGCCACAGCAGTGTAAACGTGCTTCGTGTCCGAGCTGCACACCTCAACATGGTTAAGGTGGTGTATTCATGTCGTGCGTCTTACCACAATAAACAAGTAACAGCAGGAAACACAGGTGCCACCTGAATGTCTTGTCTCCTGATGGGACAGGACTCTCCAGGCACACAGGTGCCTTGGGAGAAGTGACAGGCTGTGAGCAGGTGCGAGCAAACGCACAGTGAAGCCTGACGCGAGGTGGGCCTGTAGCAGCATTATACCTGACTACTATCCTTACGTTAAAAGCTCAAATACTCATAAGGAAACTAAGAGCCCAAAAGATAAAAGAATAGAAACAAAACTAGAACCTACAAAAAAAGGAAACATGCATTAAGACACAAAGAAATATGGAGTAAGAGGAGATTTTTCATCCGTCCGTCAGCAGAGGTGTTAGAGAGGACGCAAAGGAACTACAAGAAGCTGCAGGTAGGGGTGCCAGCGGCACAGGGGTCAGTGGCCCTTGCTACCCTGCGGACAGCGACAGCACCTCAGTGCCGAGCCTCAGGACTGAGCTGAAGGTGTGAAGGCGCTGCACTTGTCCTGCAGTGTGGGGCCGAGGTGTCAGCAGCAGGAGGACCGGCCAAGTGCACAAGGGTCAGTGACACAGCAGTGCCTTCCGCTGCCATGTGGGAGGAGCGGGTGAAGGGGCCAAGTGTCCGGTGATGGACGGCGACCCCTCTAGTAGACAGATGTCAGGACGACCTGTCTGCACACCTGACGTTAGTGAAGTTCATTGCCAGGGAGAAATGTGCACGGCAAGCTCTTTTTTTTAAGGCAGGAAATGAAGTTTTACAGACAGTGTTGGCCAAGTGCACTCCTCAGGCGAAATGCCACAGCATCAACGGTGGCATCCACGGGGCCGGGGTCCCGGTGTGCTCCCCTCCCGCACTTTCCGGTCCACTCGGCCTCACGCTGCATCAAAATCGCCCTCACAGCGATCAGACGCAAGAGGTGAGGCCGAGCCCTCCAGGCTGTCGGGCTGTGCTTGAAACCACGCAGGTTCGTAAGTCACCTCCTGGGAAAGTCTCCACGGTCACCTGCTCCTCAGAGCGTTAAGGGCAGGGAGGCTGGGAGACGGCACAGGGCACACACGCACATCACGGGCCCTCACGGGGTGTGTCTCGGGGAGCCTTCCAGAGCGGGCAGGGCTCCCCGTGGGCCGGGGACGAGGCACTCACGTAGACCGCAAAGTCCTTGGGGGCGCTGGTGATGTTGCCCGTGGGCGACAGGGTCTTCGGGATGTGCTCCAGGGTGAAGGCGGTCGGGTGGACCCGCATGGACAGCCTCACCACAAGGTACCCCTGGGAGCCTCGGAACGCCCAGCAGTTCCCTGGGTAGATGTCAGGCTGGGGGAAAGCAGACACGCACACTTAGCTGAACTCTTCACCACTCAAAACGCAGCAGTGATAGGAAAATCGGTTAATACTGAGAGAAAGACAGAAGAAATTCTGCTGGCAAGAAACCATCATAAGCAAACCAGAAGACAAAGTTGCGAAAGGCACCTGGGACTTAATCCCAAAGGGTACCCACTGTCCACAGGGCCAGGCGAGCTGTCTGAGCATTGGCCGGGACCTCACAGAACAAGGTGCCACAAACACCCCTCAAAGAAAAACAGCTCTGAGCAGTCCTCCGACACAGGGAAGATGCTCCACCTCGTGAAGCAACAAGGAAAAACACAACTGGCAGAGACCCACCTGACAGACTGACAGGGAGCCCCGAACCTGGCGACACCTGCGGGCACTGCTGTGGACACTCCCACACTCAACCCCCACCTTGGAGCCAGAGCCAGCAACACCGGGAGAATGGCCTGTGCCCCTGCCTGGGACCCCGGCCCCCACCATGCTGGCAGAGCACACAGCACAGCAGGAGCTCCCCACCCCACCAGAATGTCCACCCGCAACAGAGGTGCTGTGAGCCTGTGCCAAGGCCTGGTCAGATGGGCCGCGGGGCCGCTGTGGGGGACCGTAGCGTGACCCCAGTGCCCGGGGCGGGTGGGCAGGGATGTGCACAGAGCTGGGGGGCGCCCGGGCTCAGTCCTGGTGGTCCCCGCCCAGGAACCCACCTGCGGCCTCTGTGCAAAGGGCTCTAGCCCTGTGGCCAAGCTCCCTCTGCCCACAGAGCTTGCACGTGAGCCTCCCTTGTAGGGGGCCGGTCCTCCATCTGCCGCTCCTAGATTTTTCAGACTCTGCTAGGAGCCCGTCTGTCACTCAGCCTGTGACAGTTGGGGTCCTCGTTCCCAGCATCCCCCCATCAGGTGTCTGCGTGGCCCTGAGCAGGCCCACCTCCCGCGCTCCCACCCACACCCGCCCCCCCCCCAGAGTGCGGCCAACTCCTTCCTCATCTCCAGACCCAGTCTGCAAGGCAGGGACATCCTGGGACGTGGGGACTCTCGGGACATCTGACCTAGGTCATGGCGAGGGGTGCAACTAGCGTAGCTGAGGCCACAGTGTGAAGGTGGCCCAGCAGCCGTGCTGACCCACCTGTGCTTCCAGACGCCAGGCCACGCAGTCTGCCCGGTGCTGACCATGGAGGGAGAGCCACGCAGTGCCCCCTGCGGACGCCTGCCTGGGCCGCCAAGGACAAGACAGGTACTGGGGCAGGGGCCGGACCAGAGGCCCTGGAGCGCCAGGCGCACCGACACTGACTGAATGCTGCACCTAGTCACAGATCCTCTGGCCTGGGCTGGCGCTCGCCACGTGAGAGCCAGCGACCACGTGGACCTTCCACGTAAAAAGAGTGACCGCAATTTCTTCAAAACACGTCATTAAGAGAAGGCCGCGTTTTAGTACTGGGGTAAAGTGAATGGATCTGAGCCCTGAAGTCCCCGTGCTCCTGCCCTCTGCGGTGGCCAAAGCAGCAGGGCCCGCTGGATACACGGCGGGTAGGAGCTCGGCAAACACAGGTCACCAAGGGAGGGGTCTTCTTGCGACGCCACCCGTGCCCCTACCCCATTCTACTTCCTTAAAACCACAGCACACAACCAGGTCTCGAAGCCATAGCACGCCCTGCAGCCGACAGGGAGCACCCGCAGACAAGGCGGGGGAGGCCCCACACCAGACAGGACGCCAAGCTCCAACATGAGGAACACCTGGCGGCGTCGAGCGGGTGCCGGGCTGCTTCCCAGGCTGTCGAGCCCACACCTGGGAGGTGCGCCCTGGGTGTGTCTTGCTCCCCAGCTGGCTGAGGACACACGCCACCCGGCCGCTCACCTGGATCACAACGCGGGGGGACTGGGACAGGTACCAGAGCGGGATGCCGAACAGGCTGATGAGCGCCGTCCTGGTCTCGTACGTCTCCGAACAGCGAGTACTCAAGATGCTGCCGCCTGCAAGAGGAGGCGAGACCCGTTTCAGCACGGACGCCACCACAGAGGAAGCAGCGCCACTGCCCACCCCAGGGGTTCATCGGAAACGCTCTGAAGGGTCTCAAGTTTCTAACCTGCCCAAAGGGCCTCCTACCCTCAGACCAACTCCACTCCTGGCTTCACCGTCCCCACGTTCTGCATTACAGTCTGCAGCTGCCACTGCAGGACACGCTTTGCACTGACTGCAGACCGGAAACTCCGCCACGGGTTCCCCACCTGCTACTACGCAGCAGGGACTCTGAACGAGCTCGGGTCACGTCTTCAACTAAGAACAAGGCACCTGCCAGGCACCAGCCACCGGCAGGTGGGCTTTCAGAGGCCGGCCCAACCGTCAGGACAGCTGCCAGCTGCCGGGCGGGTGCAAGTGTCTGCTCACTGCCAGGCTCGGGGCTGCCGCTTCCAGTGACAGAAATGTCCAGAGTTGGACGGAAGCCCGCTGAGCTGTGCACTTTAAAGTGGTGACGTTTACGTCATGAGAACTGTATCTCGATAATGACGATAATTTTAAAAGCGTTAAGAAGTCCAGTTTGCCCGTCAATAGGAAGCAGGGCGGACAGGACACTGGTGCCAAAGCAGCCCAACAAGCCAGTGCAGAAAACGGAGATACATTAAAAACATGTAAGCGAGTAACACAAGTGGAAACTCCTGAAAGCTCGTACTGGTCGTCCTAGGACACGACGGTCCCTCCCTCTGGCTGCCCACCACGGGCCCTGAGGACACCCACAAGACCCAGCCCCAGGCCCCAGGGACTCTCCTGAGAATGGGGGAGGGGGCTGGCCAGGTGGGAACTTACCAAAAAACAGCATGACTTTGGTCCACCTCATCAACAGGCCGGAACTTTTGAACCACTGAACTATCTTTAAAATACTCTATTCTCGTTCTAAAAATGTTTCTCTTTAAATACAGTGACTCCCTTTTTAAACTTAAAATGAAACTACAAGAGGCCAGAAAACTCTACTTTTTTGGATACTAAAAACCACGAGGGTATGCGTGACTTCAAGGTCTGATGGACCCATTTCTCAATGGGACAGTCAGTAGGTTTCAGTCGCCTGCTGCACCCTGTGTGGAGCAGTGGTTTTCAAACAGGTCTCTGGGACACAGGAAGAAAACCCTCAAAGCCGTGTTTACCCTCACTGCGCTCATTCTGCACAGCTGTCTCTCGTGCTGTTTTACGGAGCACGGACAGGACGTGTCAAGAGAAGAGGAGGAGGCAGGGGTTCTACCAGGAGGGCAAGAACTGGAGACGTGGAAGAACCCAAAAGCTGCTGAAATGCCCCTAAGTGGGGACTTCACTGACACCACCATCAGCCCCCGGCTGGTGCGCTCAGCTTAGCCACCAGCCCTTCGAAACAGAACACGAGGGGCTCGCCGAGGAGAAAGCTCTCTCCCAGCAGGTTCGGGTTCTACCAGGGCGGCTACCGCTGGGCCCCTCGGGTTGACGTCTCGCTGGCAGGGCCCGTACTTACCCCCAGACTCCAGGGCAAAGTCCACCATGCCGGTCTTGTCCTGGGAGTACAGCTTCAAGGCGCTGTCCACGATGGCGCGCGCTTGCTGCGCGGAGGGGGTGCCCACGAGGACCGACGCCGCGGCAGCATCAGAAACAAGACTTACGCGTTAATCGCAGAAACAGACGCCAGACGCGTCTCCTAAGAACCACGTCCCGCCAACTCGACTTGGGGCCTGACCGGCCAGACTCGGCCCCGCACTAGACTGCGGGTCCATCAGACAGGGCGGGCAGGCCCAGAGCCTTTCCACCCAGGCTCAGACACAGGCACAGAGCCCTCCAAGCCTGAACTCCGAGTCAGAGAAGTGGACACAGCGGGCCGACAGTCAGAGTCACTCAGACTGTGTCATGGGGACCCTGTGTAAACTCCAGATGGTATGTGGCCACCCAGGTAGGAAAGATCCTTGGGACAAGAACGGCAGCGAAGCACAGAGTACTCCTGAGAAGCAGACTGACGGCAGCAGCTGGCACGCGCCTCCCTTGTGCCACGCGAGGCGCCGCGCCCTTCCGCGAGGGCCGGCCCCCAGGAGCCCGCCCTCGGACCAGAACGCCACGGCCTCTCTTGTCACCCACTCACCGCTTCTGTTATTCCAGGAACGCCTGCCTCATTCACGGCAGACACCACCGCCTCAGAAGTGGGCATCTGCTTCGTCACGGAGACGTGGTGGGTGATGTTCCTCAGGATCTGCAGCTCTAACTCCCGCAGTAAAACCTGCAGGTCATCCTTGCTTACAAATCGAGAAGAAAACTTCTGGAGCAGCTGTTCGAGAGAGCCATCCTGATGGTCACCCGAAAACAGGAGCCTGACCGTTTCTCGGACTTGGGTGTCCACCTAGGAAATCACGAGTGAGTGTGGCATGAATCTGCCGTCCTAGCAAAATCATCGTGACTCTTCACCCTGTCACCCTAGGTCTGCCGGGAGACTCAGCCCCTCAAAACCGTGGCATAAAAGGGACACAACTCCTTCCTCCGCGCGGACCTTGAGAGCCCTCACAGAAGCCGGAGCAGGTTCCCGAGGACGGGCGGAGAAGCCAGCGCCCTGTGTGCCCACAGGGCTGCAGGAAGAAGGGCCCCGGCAGCCAGCACCCGAAAGGAGACGTTCCGCAGGCAGCATCATTGCCACACACGATGACGTGTGTGACCACCACCCTGCCTCAGAGACCAGGATGGGGAGGAAAGGCCCTGGGTGTCCCGTGGTGCCACCCCCGGGACCCCCGCGCCCACCTGCACTGGGGCTGCCGCCCCTGCATCGGCAGTCCCGAGTGCGGCTGATCATTTTGCAGACTGTGTACCTCTGTGACTCGTGCCTATTCTGAGGCCTTCCCCCAAAGCCTGCAGGCACCCCACTCCCCCACCGGCACTGGTGCAACTGTCATCACTTGAGGACCGAGGAACCGTCATTCATCTAACCTCAAACCTGACTGGGGAGATGTCCCCGCCCGCTCCGCCCCGACGGTGCTGCCTCCTGGGAGCCCAGACCCCACGGCGGGGCCACGTGCACCTTGCCTCCTGCCTCTGACTTAGCACGTTTGCCATTCAAACACTGGCCTTTTCATTTCCACGCAGCTCTAACTGTCCAGGTCTCCTAGTCCGCATGAGGACACACGGGCCGGAAGCAGTGTCTGGGAGCTGGGTGTGAGACACAGCTGCAGCCAAGTCTGGTGGTGAGAAGGCACAGCTGCCCAGGGAGAGGCTGGCCTTGGCCGCCGGAGCGCAAAGGACAGACGCGCACTCGCGTCCACGTCCCACGTCACTGGAATGGGGGATGTCGAGGAGCTGGATTTTTAATTATTTTCTCTCAAGTGTTAAAAGACTTCAAACACAGTAAACTACAGCCTTCAAAGAAAGCTGAAGTTAATGTAAACGTAGGCCATCAACCCGAGTGTTCTTCTATTTTCTGTGATAAAACAAGATGTGAAACGTGAGGAAACGTACGTTCCACGTACGGCGCCCACCTTCTCACAGCTGTTGCCTGTGCACTGCAGCCCGGCGGTCAGGTCCGACTTCAGACGGCCCAGCTCCTGCTCCAGGTGCCGGACCAGGGCAAGGAGGCGCTGGGCCTCGTCCATCCCGCTGGGAAGGGGGAGACGGGTCAGCTGCCGGCAGCAGCACATGCAGGACAAACTGCCCACACTCCCAGGCAGGTCAGCTGAAACTCAGCAGCCTGCCCACAGCAGCAGGGAAGCGCCACCAGGTTCAGGTCAGAATCCGGAGGTCTTCTCCCCCGTCAGCGTCCGCGTGCACACGCGCACACGCACCCCCACCCAGGCAGGAGGCCCAGCACGCTCAGCGGTGCTGGGGGGCACGCCAAACTATTAAAGATTTAAAACCTATGCCTAGCTCCTTAAATTTCTGAAAAAGACTTCAGAAGTGAGACAATATTTATTGATAACCATTTTAAAGTTAAATATGAACTTTTCACGTTACTGGAAGAGAAAACTAAACTAAAAATGTATGGCTTCAGGGTTTTAATCATTCTATGTTAATGTATGTATGTTACAAACCATCACAACATGTTTGTTTAGACGTAGGTACAGTCATTCAGAGGCCGACAGTCCATGTCTCAGGAGAGCTCACTCCAGGACACACATGGAGGGCCGGCCTCACAGATCAGAACACCTTTCTCCTGCAGCGAAGGCTGTGCAGGGAAGTAGCGAAGTTATCCCTGTCCTCGCAGAAGGACAGGTGGGGTCTAAGAGCCGCAGAAACACACGAGCCCAGCGACAGGAGGACGTGGCTTAGAGTACAGCCCCATCAATTATGGGAGCAACGGAGGGTGAGGGTGTCCTGTCCTGACAAAGGGGTGCAGAGGGCCCGGATGGTAAAGCCAAGGGTGTGAGAGGGACAGCCACCCTGTGGCTCAGAAGGAGGCTCCAGGCTGCCAGGGCAGTCCGGGGGAGCGGACACGTGCGGAGGAGAGGGGACCTGGGTGTGAGGACCAAATGCCACCACCCTTAGGCCGCTGAGAGATGGGGCTGCGTCTACTGGAGAGGCTGCTGAGTGGGGACAAGGGCCGAGCCAGGTGGCGTGGGGCCCGCTCTACCCTGGGACATGAGCTCGTCCGGCCCTGGGGCCCCTGTAGACCCGTCCAGGCAGCGAGTCTCTCCAGGCACAGCCAGGGTGACTGCGTGGGGTGACGGCAACAAGCCCCCAGGCCCCCTCCACCCTCAGGTGCCCCAGAGAGGGTCTCTGAGAGGTGAGCGTGCCTGCCCGCCACAGCCCGCCAAAGCCCGCCAAGCCAGGTGCACACAGCGGCCAAAAGGGGGACACGCCAGAGGGACAGGAATTCATCTGAATTTCCCCTACCTCACTGTCCTCAGAGTGGTCTCTTCTAACTCCTTCTGGATGGCCTAAAGGGTGGCAGAAACAGTCCGTTTAAACACACAAGTTACACACTAACTTTCCATGAACCATACACTTGACTTTACATACAGATACAGATATAAATGAAAATGCACACACGTATCTGAGATTTTCTTCCCCCTTAATTCAAAGTCCAGACCTGCCTGCTGGCTGGAGAGGGATGTCTATTTTTCAAAGCAAACTCTTAAAAGACATACACCACGTGCTCAGAGAGGTGCACAAATCACAGGGAGCGGCTTCGTGGGCTTTCGGTTAAGCCGCCCCCGGACTCAGCACGCAGGCTGAGGACGGCGGCACCGCCACCTCTGAGAGTGTCTTCTAAACGCGGAGGGACGAGGGAAAGAAAAGGGCCCGTTTACGCGAGCAGCAGGACTTCCTAAGATGGCAGCTCGCAGACGGGGTGGGTTAGCTGGTCCGCTCGTTAGGCTGAGCCTCGATGGCGCCCAGGGCAGCGGGGGCCCTGGGCGGGTCCAGGCAGGACACCTGCCTCCTCCTCGGCCCCCTCCCCTCCACACTCAGGAAACGTCTGGTCAGCAAATGGACTGCACCCGCAGACACCACCAGTGTCAGCAATGCGGCAGCCAATCCTGAGCCCCCCGAGGGCTGTGTGTCTCCCCTGAGGCCAGCCAGCAGGCACGTCCCCACCGGCCCCGGCCCACACCTGGGTGCCTCCCTCCGCTGCCACCAACGCTGGACCTCAACAGCCCCTCCGACCAGAAAACCGGTCTGCCGGAAGGCTCACACCCCTCTGCCGACAAGGTCACACTGGTGGAGGCTGTGTGACATCCAAGAGACTCGGGGACCCCAGAACCTGGAGACCTGCCTCCTGTTTTCAAAGCCTGGCCCCGGCCCCTCTTAAAAAGACACCAAAAACCAGTGGGCTGCAGACACTCTAACGCTAAAGCTCTGGAGCGGGGCTGCCCAGGGAAAGGCCGCCGGGGAGGGTGCTTTCTTCAGCTTTACGAAGGACGGCGGCAAGTACCTACAGAAGCACCCGAAGGCGGTGGGGCCACGAAGACAGTGACTGGGCGACGACGACGGAGGAAGCCACGTTGCTGGGGCTACAACTAGAGGGTGGAGAGTGGGTACCTCAGAGTTTTCTGTCAGTTTCCTGAGAACATCTTCCAAGTGGGAGATGCGCGATCCATGTTCTTGGTGGGCAGCCACGCAGTCCATCTTGAAGAGGAAAACGAACGAACAAACGGAAAAGAAGGTTAAGCAGCACATCAAGCCCAAACCCGGCCCATCAGGCAAGTCAGTTCCACACGGAGTGCCCAAAAGTGAGGGGCTGTCTGCTCACAAGTGGGCACAGCGTCCTGGAGGTGACGTCCGTGTCTTCACCTGAGAGCCCAAAGGCTGCGCTAAAACAAAACGCCCCAACAGCGCTCGTTACACGAGCGTGCGGACTCGGAAGCAGTGACGACAGGGGAGGCGCTGGTAGGGGAGGAGCCGTCACCACCCGCTCGGCAAACACCCACCGGGCACCCCTGAAGCCGGGACCTGAAGGGCAGCGCGCTGACTCCGCCCCGGCACACGCCCCGGCACACGCATCCAGAGGGGACTGCGTTTCCTCAACACAAGAGACTCTGAAAACTGTCCTCTGTCCGACACAGTCCCACCCACTTCTTCAGCTGTCAGGGTGGGAGGGCAGCCCCTGGGCTGCGCTGTGTCAGGATAAACTGGCCCCCACGAAGGCCACATGTGCCACTGAGCATGGGAGACGTGGCTGGGGCAACAGAGAAACTAAATTTTATTTTGTTTTAATTAATTTAAATGTATGCAGCCACACGCAGCTGGTGGCAAGTCCCTGGGACAAGGCAAATACATGAGGCAGACACATGCCAGGATCCCGGGCGGCCAGCGGGCGGCCAGTAACCAGGTGGTCAGGCTCCTTAACAAGACCTGGGCTCTGCCCGGCGGGACAGACCACCACCACCACCACCACGCCGCTCTCGGGGGCTCTCGGGACGGCGCAGGAGGAATGGGCAAGTCTGCACTAAGCGGATCCAACTTAGAACCTGATTTTAAAACGAGCCCGCGCTGCACGAAGTCTGGCTTGTAAACCGCTAGACAACTGACCCTCGTTTCCTCTGAACCAGAGTCTGGCTTCCTTCACGAGGGCGGGCAGCTCAGCCATCACTGAAGGTTGCAGCCGTGCCGCGGTCACGTCTACAAGGCTCTCCTTGTCCGTGGCAGCCCAGGCGGTGAGACGCGGACCGCTGCCCCGGCGGCGCTCACCCAGGCGCGGCATCCTGCCTACAGGGACACGCAGCCAGCAACCTGCCACCTGGAGGTTCCGGCTGTTCCGCCCTGACCTCGAGCCTATGCAGAGCACTGGCTTCAGCCAGTGCTGCTCTGCTGCTCTGCCTCACCTGCCAGCCACCCGCAGGGGCCGCTGGTCCTGCTCCGCCCCCGACCGCACAGCTGCCCACGGCCACCAGGAACGTGCAGGCACCGCTGCACGAACGCTCTACCTGAAATCACCTCAGTCCGACAACTAAGAAACTGAGAACAAGCAGCTGTGCAGGACTCGGTGCCGGAGGCCCGGGGTCCTGAGCGAGTGCTGCAGGGCGACCCGGGGTGCATGAAGCAGGCGGGACCCACCCTGGGACCCTGGGTCCGGTCAGCATGTCACAGGGGCCAAACCACGATCAACAAAACAGTCAATCGGCACACACTCATTTCTGTCCCTAACAGGTGAGAGAACACAGCAAATTAAATAAGCAGCAAGCAGCTTCAGCGGTGGCAAATGCTGGTACTGCCACAGGCAAACCAGGGGTGGGGGCCGCGCTGGGCCAGGGCAGGAACCTGGGCAGGGAGCAGCCCCATGAGGGACATGCGCCCCAAGACCAGCTGGGGGGTCACCAGAGAAGCCTGGCTGTGGGGGGCCACTGACAGAGCAGAGTCAGGCCCGCTCAGGAGCACAGTGGGGCCACAGCCGGCCGGAGGCTGACCACGCAGCAGACGGATGCATCACCAGCGACCAGGGACTGAGGGTCACGCTGGGGCCGAGGTGGGGACAGCTGGGTGGGCAGTGGGCTCTCTGCTGAGGTAAGCGACACCAGGGACAAGCCTCTGCTGAGACAAGAGACGAGACCCACTTCGAAGACTTCAGTCTGAAGTATCCACATTAAGTGACTTTGGAACGCAAGAAAACAGACATCAGTTTTGAGGGAAACAGGCTGACAACCCTTTCCTCGACAAAGCAGGCCAACAGGACAGCCACACGTAGGCCTGCGGTTCCGTAAGAGTGGCAGCTGCTCTTTAACTATTTCACACTCTCAAGACACTTTACATCACAGATCCAAACCTTTCGAATGAACGTTGGTAGGAAACCTAATCACTCCTGACACCCTTGGTAAAACTTCACCGCATTACGTGTAATCCATTCACCAGTTAGAGTGCAGGCTAGAGACCCTTCGTCTGTCTGGCTACAGCCGACCTCACTCCTGGCCGTCACCCTTGGTGCCTCTACCCGCCCCAGTCTTCCCGCCCTCCCAGCCCCTCGGTGCCCCCTCCACTGCCGGCGTCAGACGTGGCACCTCCTCTGGGGGCGTCCACAGCCCCACGGCTCCTGGCACTGCCTCCACGCACCACACCACTTCTCACCGCAGTGCCCTCCCGTCCCTCGTGCCCCAAAGGAAAACAAAGCGCCTGAAAGCTGCCTGGCATTACCTCGGAGCCCGACAGTCCAGCCTCCTCTAAACGCCGCCCCACCGTGCTCTGAATCATGGACAGGAGCCCTTCAGCACTGTCGTCCATCTGGTCTACCCGCGCCTGCAGCTTCTGAAGCGAAGCTGTCAGTTCTTGAAGTTTCTGGTCATGGCTGTGACACTGTCCAGACACAGAGGCCGTCTGCCTTTCTGCTTCATTCACCCGATGCCAGTGGAAAGCCTCGTCACCAACCTGAACAGCAAGGAATTCCAAAGGCAATGCAAATGAGAAGTTAAATCTGGCTTCAAGTAACCGTAACTACAGAGTAGGTCAAAACTACAAAACAGAGCATCACAGAAAAACGTCCACCACGACACACACACGCACTAAGGGCAAGTACGTGGAAATGTTCATCAGCAGTCTTCCTTCTGTCGCAGACTAGGGGCATTTTTATTTTCTTCTTTGCGCTTCCTATATTTTCCAAAGTAATGAAAACTATTACTTTTCAATTAAAATCAACTGGATAATGAGGTTGCTTAAAACACAAGCAGACTCGTTTCGCTGGGCTTTGCAGACGCACGTCCATCACAAACGGAAGGTCTCCGGCCGCCCCGCGCCGAGCAGGGCCGTCGGGGCCGTTTTTCCAGCAGCGTCTGCTCGCTCCGTGCCCCTGGGTCACTTTGTGATAACACTTGCAGTACCTCAAACCCTCCACCACCAGAAAGAATACGACTCGCTAAAGGCTCAGATGACGGTTAGCGTTTTTAAGCAGTAAAGTATTTTTAATTAGGGTCTGTCCATTGTTTCTTAGACACAGAGCTAATGCACCCTTGGCAGTGGAAGCCTACATGCTCTGCCCCAGGAAACCAGAGTCTGTGGGGCTCATGTTACTGGGGTGCTCTGAAGCTGGACCCACGATGCTGCCGAGGTGTGCCTCTAGGCATTACCTGAACTGTTTCAGAACATTTAAGGAGCTATTACACAGACTTGTTTGACGTTGTAAAATATTTTCTGAAACAAGGTGCCCAACTGAACTACCCCGTCCACAAGCAGCAGCAACTCGCGCTGAAGAATTCAGGTCTGCAAAGCCAGGCCGAGCGCTCCCTAACGGGTTACCTCCAGGGGCTGCTGCAGATGAGCAGTACCGGGTGTGAGCACGTGGCTGGGGCCGTCCACCCTCTGCGTCCAGTACACGTGTGTCCAGTTTAGCACAGGCAGGAGTGAAAGAAGGTCACCACGGCCCCGCAAGGAAATTCCCGCACCTTGAAAGAGAGGGGCCATAGTGCGAGCATGCACGCACTGCTGTTCAAACAACGTACGCGAGTGCTCGGTTCTCTCGCGGGTTCACTAACGTCCGTTTTACTAACATACGTGTGTGCGTACACAGCAACCACCTAAAGTAGCCAAGCCAAGTTTCACCTACCTAGTAAGAGCAGCAGAGGGATGAGCAAGATTAAAAACCTGCAAATATTTCGAAGGCACCTAAGAACAAAAGAAAACATTTAGCTGGGAAAAAGTAAATGGCAGGCTTCATCATCCTATCTCCAGGTAACTTTGTACCAAATGCCCCCTTCCCCATCCTAAATGGAATCCAGTCCGAGCAACACAGGCAGCGGCTCCTACGAGGTGTGTGCCTATCTGGGAACCTGCCCACGGCGCGGTGACCCGGGCCCACGAGGCCCCTGCTGGCGGGAAGCACCTGGAGCGAGCAGGAGCCGAAGGTCAGGTAAAGTGCTGACCACACCCTCCCAGCTGGGTGATCCCGGACAAGTCACTTAACCTCTGCACACTTCTGTTTCCTTCAAGGATGACACCTGCCTCTCCTTTCTCACAGGAGGGGTTTGGAAAGGTAAGCAAGATGAAAGCACCTTGCAAAATGTAAAATGGTTAAATCAAACGATCCCTGCAGCTAGCACAAAACCAGCTCTGCAAGACAGCAAGCTGACCCCGTGTCAGTCTCCTCACCTCGTAAGAAGAAACACATTCAGCCAAGAAACCAAAGTAACAAGCTGGTACCATCCGATCCCAAGCCGCCAGAGTGCTTCGGAGGCCGCCTTCCCTGAAAGAGAAGACAGCACGCAGTCCAAGGCAGTGTTCGTAGGACAGCCAAGCTCCCGACGGGCTTTTCTGTGAAGGCTGAGCTAGAGGCACAAGGAAACGGCTGAAAGATACTCTGAAAGTGTACTAAGATGAAATCAGGGATGAGGAGTGCTAAGATGACGCTCAGCTGTCACAGCAGGAATAGCTACACACGCACGCCAGGGACGCACACGAGGCACCAAGCAGGACGCACGCCGGTCAGCGCGCAAGACAAGACAAAGGAGGAAGCACAGCCCGGCGATCTCGAGCACGGTGCAGTCCAGCGTTAGCACATCGAAGTGATGAAGACTGAAACGCATTACAGCAAGGATCAAAGCACACAAACCAAAAATCAGAGTTTCACCTGGTTAGGTAAACGACACATTGCAAGTGCTTAACTGCCAAGAGCTGCAGAGCGAGCGCTAACATGGAAAGCCCAAATAACCACCTGGAGCAACCACCGCCAACCAGAGCGCCGACAGCACCGTCCTCGACACACACCAGCCCACAGCTCCAACCCCTTGCAGCGTCTGCACCAAGAAGTGGCCTGTGACAGAGAAGATGGGGGGGACATGTTCACATGCCAGCCCCATGGCTACGACACGGGGCCCACCGCCTGCACTGGTTTCACCAAAATTCCCTCGTGTTGTAGTTGAGAGTCTCTTCTCAAGAAAAACAACAATAAACCATTTTAAGCCCAAGCACGAAGCTGAAACTAACTTACAAAAGCCCTGTCCTGGGTTTGAATGGTTTTCACTCACTTGTGTCTGCCGGTACGGAAACGAAACGCAGGCGTTTCTGACAGACCCATGGGGGTGGTGGCTGCAGGTTGTGTGGGAAAAACGAGGCAGGAGTTTAGAGCAAATGGAATGCAGGGGGAGGGTGCAGCTCGGCCTAGACACAGGCTCAACACGCGTGAGGTCCTGGGCTCAATCCCCAGTATCTCCTCTGGAAATAAATACACCTGACTACCTCCCTCAACCCCCACCCGCCAAAAAAATCAGGCAAGTGGAATTCCACAGACATCAGCAGTTAGCATGCCCCGGGTGAAACAATGATTACTCCAACACCAAAACGAAAATTGTGCTAAAGGTCTGAAATTCCCAGTGAAAGAGCATTTTGGAATCATACCCGCAGCAGCACTGGATGACAGAATAAAATACCACAAACTTTATACCCCAAGTCACACATTTTGTAAAGCAGACACCTGCTCATGAAATCAATGTTTCACTTTTTTAAGACTAACAGCTGAAACTTACACATGTATGTGAGCATTTGTGTATGATTAACTGTAAACTAATTTCAACATGACTGATGTGCAAAGAAATTCGGTTTAAGGGCATTTTTTAAAAAAATCTGTTGTTTTGTGTTTGTTCATTAACAGTTAAACAATTAATTTTGAAGTTCAGCTTAGGGGGAAAAATGCCTAAAAAGGCACCCCTTTCCCAAGAAGCTCACAGAAACAACTGGAAAACATCTCAGTTGGCGTGCGGTCCTTGCCACAGGGCTCGGGGCAGGGGTCCCAGCCGCTCCTCAACCTTTCAGTTCACCTCACAGAAGTCACTCTCCCTACGTTTAATTTATAGACAGTTCATTTACAGAGAAGCTTTTCAAAAGAGAGATTCTCCATGTTTTAAACCCAGGTTATTGTTTTCCTGTTTGCTTTTAATGGGGACTTGAGTTCCAAACACAAACAAGGAACAGGCACGCTGGTGAGAACAGGCCGGACACAGAGCAGAGAAGCAGCGAGAACCCGCGCGGGCTCGGGGGGACAGGGCCCTGCAGCCACAGGAGCGTCCTCCGCTCCGTCACTGCCCGCTGGACAGATGCATGCCCACCTGTTCATCTGAACTGGGCAAAGCAGCGGCGGTCTATAAGGACAAGGAAACTCAACCACAAAACCCCAGCCCAGACCCCGGGGGCAGCCATACTCACACAGCGACGCCCCGGGCACCCGCAGGTGGCCGTCCTCGCTGCGGCGCAGGCTCCCATGGGCTCTCCCGCCAGACCTGGAACGACCTGCGACAGCGAGGAGGCATGAGGGCCATGGTGTGGGCAGCGGGCGGCGGCTCCAGGCCGGCCACGCGCTACCAGAGCACCTGCTCTGAAACATCACTGTCCTACATACCATTCAAACACATTTTTTGCTTTTAAAAGGTAGTAAGAATAAAAAAAGATGAGTGCATTAACTTTTTACTTAAAAAGCAACTTTAAGACAGACTTCCAGAAAACTCCAGAACTACACCCGGACAGAGACCCACAGAAAGCAGCAGAGAAAGGCCGTGAAGACGGAGCGGGGAGGTGGGCGCAGCGCCAAGCTGGGGAAAGAGCGTCTTCTCCACCCTTAGAGTGCTGTTTGGTGGAAAAAGAGGAAAAAAGTATTTAATACCTTTTGATTCATTGCTTTCTGACTCAGGATCTTTTGATTCATAACTTTTCAATTTGTAATTTTCTGATTCATAATTGAGCTTCATTAAAACCACTTGGAAAAGTTGAACTAAGAATGAAGAAAAAGATGACGAGGAGGACTTGGCCAGCCACAAAATCCTGTCCACGCAGAGAGAGGCACCGCCTAGCAAGAAACCGTGGACACAGTTATTTCTCCCCCGAAGCCCATACCTCCTCCCTGACAGGTCAGGCAGACAAATCACCCATTTCGGGCACGGTAGAACCAACTTGCTAAGTGGTTCACACCACACCAGAGACACCAACTTGGGAAGAGCCGCGGTGACCAGCGGCAGCACGGCCTGAGGGGCAGAGCCGTCAACACTGTCTTTCTCGTGGGATTGTTCCAGAAAATACCCCATTTGCGATCACTTCACCCGACGCTGTTTACACATACACAACATTTCGAGGCTGTCCAGCAGCCTCCCTCACCCGACCTGCGGCCCAGCAATTCCGCCCCCTCCCCACCTTGGGAAGCGCTACTGGCTGAGAGCCTTCATGAGGGCGTCCACTCCCGCGTTTGTCCAGGGGACCAGGGACGCAGAAACAGGAACAAGACCGCGTGAGGGGGCAGCTAAACCACAGAGCACCTGTACCAAGAACACCTGGCAGCCCTCTGGCCTGACTCATCAGGGCCCGGGCTCTGGGAGAGACAGGGGGACCCCCGACACTTCCCCCCTGTGACCCCGAAGTGCGTATGCTGAGTCTACAAGCCGCGGTTGCTCGAAGTTTTTGTTCTTCAACAAAAGTTCCTTCAAATGGCAGACAAAGAATCAGGCCTGTTTCTACAGCTGATGCCAGCAGACAGGCCGGGGGGCTGTCTGCCTTCTCAGACGCAGCCCGGCCCGGCAAGCCTGGTCAGCCTGGTGAGGCAGAACAGGGCTCGAGGCTGGCGGGGACGGCAGACGTCTCAGGCAGAACGGTTTGAAACACATCAAATGAGAGCTTTTCTTTTTGCAAGTGGCCTGAGGAAAGAGTAGGCGTCCAGTGAAGGGGAGCTCTGTCCAGGCAGCAGCCCCCGGGGTCAGGGCCAACCCTGTGCTCCTGCCCTTGCACCCCCGTGTCTTCCTCGGGGGTGTGAACCGTGTACAGAGGTTGGTAAAAGTAGAAAAACTTAAGAAGAGGTAACACATGGTCTGTCTCACTGACAATCAAGACACCAAAACCCCATTTTTCATTCATTATATCGGCAACACCTTAAAAGAGAAGAAACAGAAAGGGTTAGTGGGAGCACACGGAGCAGAGGAGGACAGCCCCGGGCGGTCTGGGGAAGCCGACTGAAGAATCTCTTTCAACTGAAACTGTACATAATCTCTCATTTCAGCAGTGGTAACTATTTATTTAGAAGCTGCTGGGTGGAAAGTTTATACACACATTTAACCGCTGACTGTGGCTTCCCCAGGAGAGCGTGCTCACAAGGCGCTCCTCCCTTGGGCGCCGCTGCCTCGGTCTCACAGCCGACCCCCATCCGCCTCGGTGGCTCCCCACGCCTGCCCGTCCACACCCGTCCTACCGGGCAGCAGGCACTCAGTCCTTACTTCTCTGAAGACTGGGATCAATAAGCTAAACCCTGCTCTGTGCCCCCAAGACCACTGACAACTTTTCAAAGGAACGACCTATCTTTCCTGAGTCAGCTGACACCGTCTGGATCGGAAGCCTGGGTCCTCCTGCACCATCAGCCTGGAGGCTGGGGGCAGCGAGGCACTGTCCTACGGGGGTGGGGTCCCCAACCTCACCGCTTCTCACCCAGACTCCAGTCCTGGGAGAGCGGGGTCTGCTCTCGGCATCTGCTTTGTTGAGGATTGTTGGATGTCCCAAGGAAAATGCGTGGAAGCTCTTTAAACCCTCTTTGATGTGGACCAGAAAATCACGTTTCGTCAAGAACATGCTCAACCTGAACCTCAAAGGTGCAGACTAGGCAGCCACACGGCCCGGGGAAGGCGAAGCTCGTCCTGCACCCAGTCTGCCTGTCCCAGAGATCTGTGCAAGCACCAAACGTGTGCAGGGAAACACACCCAAAGAAATCTTGCTTTTAAAAGTGTACAAATAGCAGAACCTGAATGTCCAACTAGACACTGATTAAATAAATTTATATACAACCAAAACTGCAGTATTAGATAGGCAACTAATCTAATAGAAAGAATGAAGTTAATCTCAACTAACATATAAAAGGAAAAAAGCTGCAAAATCCTGTGCGCACCATGACAGCAGTTAAGTGAAGATGGGGACCAGCTCTGCATTTCCTAGGTCCACAAAATCGAGATTCAGCAGCATCTAAATGCCGACAGGACAGCACCCATGATTTGCATGATACGACCCCCACCTCACTTGCGAGAGCAGGAGAGCCCACAGGGGACCATCAGGATTAGCTGCAGGTCCCTTTGGAAGGGAAAGCAGACTGGACAGGGGACTTAACTTATCTGTGCTACTTAAAGGTTTTACAGTGAGAATGTAAGTACAAACAAAAGGAAAGAAAATGCGGGGTGGGAATTAGCCTTTGACTGTGAAAAGCTCCACGTATTCTGAGCAAACACTTTTGTATAACAAAGTCACGCAGCGCGACCCCATGGTGCGACAGAAAGCCCGGCGGCAGGTTACGGGAGAGTTTAATCTTCCTCACACATCTCGGTGATTTTCCAAAGTTCTCTGATAAATGTTTTACTCAAGTAATCAGAAATGTGTTTTAAAGGTAATAAATGAGTACTGGCTCTACAGGTCACTATCAAAATCTAAAAGAGCAGGGAAGTGATAATAAAAGCCCCGAGCAGATAAAAACACAACTTGTTTTCTCCTCGAAAACACTCCAGACCAATTTAAGCAGGAAAGTGGGACCAATTTCCAGAAAGACCAGCACAGCCACACTTTTCCCCAGAAGACACACCAACAGCCCCATGCGCTTGGCCCCGGCCCCCTCGCTGTCACAACAAAGGGCGGCTGGGCCGCGACCCCCAGCACGCAGGGCCCGTGCGGCTCTGAGAAGGCATGGACGCCCCTGAAGGTGCGCGCAGCACAGCGGGTTCCGTTTCCCTGTGAGGTTCCTCCCCTCCCTCCGAGTTCACACTCACACAATTCCAGACTCCTGGGCACCACCACGCAAAGTGCAAGCTGAAGGAGGGACAAAACTAATTTTCGGCGTATTTCTTCAACTTTTAAAGCATCGCTTTGAGGTCAAGTTTATAGGAGAAACAGTGCAGACACTGAGGCCTGTAACACCAGGCATGTAAGAAGAAAAGGATACATGTGGACACACAATTTTTTCTAACATCTAAAAGAGTCCAACTTACGCTTCTGATTCCTGTCCCTCGAGTAAATCCTCGAGGACGGGCCGCGGGCCGCGGCGCAGGCAGTGAGCGAGGCCTTGCGCTCGGAGAGGAGGCTGCAGTCACTGCAGGTGTAGCCATTGCTCCCGGCCGCCCCCGCCGGCCCTGCTGCCATGGCGCCATTTCCCTGAAGGGCAGCTTTACTCCCACCTGAAGTTTTCAAAAAGCAGACGGACCTGATGATTACAATCTGCAGACACCTAACTGAAACTTCCACCTTGAAAATGCAGGGACGAAACAGGACCAAAATGATTACCTTTAAGATCTCCATCGTCGTCAAGACCTGAAAAACACACATACGTATTGTGGCTGTTCAGCTCAACTTATCAAAACAGAACAAAACACACACAGCCGTGAAGGTCACAGCGGCTGACAAAAATCAGCATCACGGCACCGGTCAAGGTTCATTTCCTACAAGGCCTGGAACAGAAATGTCTCCAGATACGTGCAGATACTTGCAGTTCCAGGTGAAAGCACATCTCTGGAGAAAATACAGACACACACACACACGTGTGCGGAGAGCAGGCAGAAACCTCACCACCAGCTTCCCTCACTGCCTGGGAACTGCTCTTCCAGCGAGCGAAACAGAACACATATGAGTCCGATGCTCCCCAGACTCACACATAAAACTTTTGGAACTAATCTGGACCTTGGATCTCCCCCAGAAAGGCCAACGTGAACATCGAGTGGACACAGGCAAGCAGCTCTGCGTCCCCACCGACGCCTCGGCTCCCTGCGGCCACCACGTCAGCAGCAACGACCGGGGCCACCCTGCCACTGCTGCAGTCAAGTCAGGCCACAAGCCACATCGATTCCTAGTGTCAATTCACCTACACAGGATGCTTTCCAGTGAGCCAAAAGTACCACATCTGCTTGCTGCTTAGAGACGCCTGAACCTGAGATCACGCCGGTGAACTTCACAGCGACTTTGCGTCAACACCCCTCAGAGGCCACGCAGCCAGAAAACCGGGCCGCGCCGACCACCTGACGTTCCACATCGCAACAGGGGAACGGCAGCTGGGAGCAGCTTCCCCGCTTCCTACCTTAGTCCGGAGGAAAGCCTCCCCCTCCAGGGACTTCTCCCCGCAGTGAGGGCAGAGGGACAGCCCGGCCACGACCTCCCTTCTTCCCAGAACCACCCGAGAAGTTACTGAGAGCAGCTCACCCCAGAAGTGGTCCACTTGGGTCTGCTCACGGATCAGGGACTCGTCCAGCACGGGCGGCCGCACCCCGCTAGAGAAGCCCTGGCCGGCAGCCGAGGCCAGGGCCTTCCTGGAGGCGTGGTGTATGCTCAGCACCGGCTTGTTCGCACTCCGGCGCTGCCTTGCAGTCCTACAAGAAAGGAGTGAGAAGCAAGTTCACAGCCCGTCTCGCCAGCACAGGTGACTACATTTCACCGACACAAGCCTTTGCCTGAGAACAGCATGTCCTTTCTGCTGCAGTGAAGCGTCTATAAACCTAAATAAGGGATTGTTAGGCTGGGCTCCAGGAACTCCTTCTAAAATTACATATTATACAGAGTAGTTTTCAGATACTTGGGCCCCATGACCCAAAAACGGTTCAAACTTACAATAACTGAAGAATAAAAATGACCTAAATTTAAAAATTACGGTTTATAAATTTAGCCCCTCCCGTCCTTAAATGAGCGCATGCACACACCCACCCCACACTGCCTCAGCCACTAGGGAAGGCGGACCTGCGACACGCACAGCAAGGAGAGGCCTGCTCCTTTGTAATCTGATCCATTTCTGCACCAAATCCGCACAAACGAGGATGACAGAGCCCTGGGAGACGGTCGCCTGAGACTCCCCGCACCGAGGCAGGCAGGACGGAAGGGCAGACAGAAGACCCGCCCTCCAGGGAGCAAGTAGTGGGCGAAAGGCAGGGAACAGAGACACGAAGTCCCAGGTGCCTCGCCCCAGGGGACAGAAAGCCGGCCCGTGACAGCTGGGGGCCCCACAGCGCACCGCTCAGCTGCTCGTCAGGAACCTTCGGAGCTGGACTGTCCAAGGCTGAGGTCCAAGAGCCTCACTCTCGAACGCAACCCTGCGGGTGATTGCATTGTGTGCGGTGCATGCGTGAACTGTGCCTGGGGGGGGCACCACTACCAATGCCAGCGCCCAGCCTGGCCTGAAGTCAGTGTCCCCACCTGTCTCACTGGCCACCATCCCGTTCCTGAGACCACAGCTCAGGCTGGAAACACATCATTCTTAGCTGTGACTTTATATCTCTGAATGACAAGAGATCTTGCTCACTCTTGCTCCTTCCTGGGGACAAACAGGTGATGAGGACACGGAGACGTCAGAAATCAAGTGAACAGGACAGTCACAGACACAAGGTAACAGCTGAACCTCACGCATGCTCTGTCAGTTCACAAAGACTTTGACAAGCAGGCGCAAAGCATTAACAACCCAGAGACCATCTGCAGCGACATGTGAAGTGAGACTCCGTGCGTCCACACTGCTAGGGCAGCTCGGGGCCTGCCACGAGGATGAGCTGCGGACACTGGCCCTGTGCGTGCAGCTGTGTCCACGTGACAGGTGGCCGTGGCCCTCTGCAGTTTCTGTGAGCAGAGAACGTGGAAACTGTCAACACCAGATCCCCGCACGTCCCAACCCCGGTCTCCATCTTCATTCACAGCAAAGCTGTGACTTTCCATGTGACTGTGTGGGCACCTACATATCCTCAGGTTCCAGAGCGCCGCCCTGACCGGGTGGAGAGCCTGAGTGTTAGGTTCCCTATGCTGGAGTGCCGGTGGCAGGGACGGCAGCACGCTCACCTGGCCCCTCTGTCCCCGGCCGGGCCGTCCTCGGTGGCATGTGCTGTGGTGAACAGGCGCAAACTGCGGCGTGACATTCTTGGAGAATCAAATACAGGATCCAATTTGTGTTCCATCTCGAAATCCAGAGCATCAGAAGAATAACTTGAACTAGAAGGAAAAAAACCCTCAGAGATAAAACACTGCTTCCAGCCCACTTTTAAAACAAGCTGAAGACATAATGAACAGAACATGCAATCTACTGTGATTTTTAAAAACAGCCATCACCACCGAAGCTTTTCTACAGACCAAAAGCAGGCTGGCCCCCCCCACAATGACGCTCTGGACACCGGCTCTGAGCACAGCACCTGTGAAAGGGCTGCCCGGCGTCCTGTCTAGAGCTGGCCCAGGGCTGCGTGAGGACTCACTCAACTCACAAGAATCCCCACCGACGCGGCACCAGGTCAACATCATTAAAAGTCAGCCATCTACTTGCAGACGTTGGCTGACACAGCAGTTCAGGAGACAGGCACCACCCGTGACCCTCAGTCCGCTCCCCAGTGAGCTGGTGAATGACCCGACGGCAGGAGAAAAGGAAAAACAGGTGGGGGAACCACCACCGCTGCTCTGCGCCTGCCTCGCCACAAAGCCAGAGACAAGCCGCCTGGCTGCCTCCATGTGGTTACCTTACCCTGAACACGCACCCCTCCGAGCTGTCAGCAAGCTCCCCTCATCAGGAAACAGCAGTCAGAACCCGCCTCGCAGCTCCAGGGGCAGGGGCCACCCACACAGCACCCCTCACTCAAGCCGTGAAGGATACTGCCCACAGGCGCACCCCCTGCCCAGCGGGGGAGAGGGAGGGAGAGGCCACAGGCGCCGTGGGGAGGAGGTGGTGAGGGGGATTGGGCAGCAGCCAGACTCCACCTGCGGCACAGGGTCAGGGGAGCGGCCATGGAGTGGCAGCCCGGGGCAGGAGGTGGGGAGTGTGGCGTGAGCCGGGAATATCTTAGGAAAGTGAGTGGGCTTAGGAACATTTCTGCTTTTTATTTTACATTATAAAAATATTTTCAGTATCAAATTCTTTATATACTAGATCTGACACTTAAAATGGTTAAACCAAACCAACAGTAAATTAATACAGATAGCTTCAAGCCGTCACACCCATCTGAAACAGCACAGGTAACTTGAGGAAAGTGTTCTTAACTTCAGAGGCTGGAGCAGGGGCCACCCTGAACAAACAGCGAGGACACTGAGTTCAAGGCCAAGTGTGGACCAAGCCCCGCCCCACCTCCCTCCTAAGCTGGGCTGGGATTAGAGGACAGGCACTGACGAGCCCTGAGCGTCCAGAGAGGACAGTGCAGTGCAGCTCTGCTGGCTGCTGTCCAGGCCGAGCCGGGCGTGTCTCGGAGAGGCCACTGAGAAGACTCGCTGGCCCGCGCCGGGAACACATCAGCACCAGCGCAGGGGAGACGGGGCCCCGGCTTCCCAACACGACTGGGATGCCTCCGCCACCAGAGGGTGTTCCCGTACGTGTCAGTCTGGTCAGAAGGGGCCCCGGGACACAGCCAGTCTGCTGCTTTCCAGAGACGCCCACCCATGGGGCGGAGAGGCAAAGGGGCCCACGTGTGCTGTGTGGGACAAGGCCGTCAGAAAACAAAGATCTAGATGCTCACAGGGACAGGGAGACTGCCAAGATGTGCTGTTAAATGGAAAAAGCGATACTCCAGCCTCACTCTGTTCGTGTTAAAGAAACTGCAAAATGAAGCCACGTCCGACACACACAGATGCATAAAAGCACGGGAGACACCAGGAAGGTTCTCTGCAAACCGGTGGCCATCGTTTGCCCTGGGGCTGAAATGAGGGGGGCCACGGGCACCTGCACCCTGAGCTGCACAGTGCTCAGCGCCCAGGGGAGACCAGCAGCATCCATGGGGAGGGGCACGGACCTGACTGTGCTCCTTCCAGTGTGACCAGAGCCTCTGTCTGCATCTCATGCACTTTTAATTAAAAGAGTGAAAAAAAATTGCCTCAGGTGAAACCCAGAAACAGACATGGACAGCAGGCAGCAACAAGCCATCAAGTGGAGCCTGGGCTGCCGACGATGCTGGATCCGGGGACACATTCGAGGAGTCGCCCGGTCACTGAGAGTGGGCGTGCGGGCAAGCAAGTCACACACAGTGACAGTTCTACGCGTCTGACCAAACCCCTATGGTTCAGAGCACCACTGATCTGAGCACAGAAGCCCAGCCCCGGCCCTCTGACGTCCTGGCCTCCACCACCCACACCAGGCCCCCTCCACCCATCCTCCGGGACCTCTGGCCGCAGTCGTCCTGCCTCACCGGGATCCCTGCTCCACTGACCACCACAGCCTCCCCCGGCTGCCCTCCCCTGCCCCGCTGGCCTTCGGTCCCAGCGGCCGGATGGACATTCTCAGCGGAGGAGCCCAACTGCTCTTCCTGGGCGGCTCTGGACGGCAGCTCCTGGGGTGAGGTCACCTCCTCTGTGTCCAGCCCAGCACGCCTGGCTGCCCGGCAAAGTGTGTGATGGTCCCGTCCCAGACTCTCTACTCCTCACTTCCGTCACCACTCCCAGCCCTCGGGCCCTCGACACCTGGTATTCTAGCTAGTTGTTCTTAAAAATATCATTCTCCTTCAGAGACTTGGTTCAAAACAACCCACTGGTGTGGCAGACCAAGTGCTGCAAACTGCTGAAGCCGCGGGAGAGGCAGAGGGGCTCTTAACGATTCTCCAAGCTTCCACGCCAAGTGACGCTGTCCACAGTGCAAAGACACTTCAGTGAGAGAAACGGAAGGACCGGGCTGCTCAAGGGCCCGCTGCGTGTTTACTGGAATTGCTGAGAATGAAGACCAGGGCGGTCAACCAGGGCGCAGAGTGACCAGAAACGCGGGCGAGGGGCCCACCCAGGCAGCAGTGAGACCAGCGGCTCAAAGCAGGGAGTTCATTAGTAAGGGGAAGGTCTGGGGGGACAACGGAGGGAGGAGGACACACTCAGCTGGGCCAGGCGGCCCGAGGGCTGCAGGGAGAGGGCCACAGGGAAGCCCAGACTCCGGGATGACAAGCTTCCCCTGGAGCTGGACGCCAGAGAGAGGCCTCAAAGAAGAGGCAGGGTGTAGAGACGCAGGAGGACAGAGCAGGGGCGGGTCTGTCTCTGGACACTGCTGGGCAAGGCCTGCGGCTGAGAATGAAGGCGCTGGTCTGCAGCCCAACACCCCACCTCTAGGCTTGGCCTCCTGCAGCTGGAACTCCGGACTGCACACAGCCCTCGAGCTTCCTGCGTCTCCGTGGGCTCTGTGGGCCCCAGCGCCCCAGCCCCTATGGGGCTTTCGGGATCCTATCAGGACACGCTGATGACCAGACCGGACCTGGCAGCCACGTCTCTTCTAAGCCTCTAAGTCTCATGGGCTCTCCTGGTACCTAGTCCCCAACCTCCCCTCTTCGTGCCTCGATCCGGCTGCCCGACCCAGAGTGTGAATGTCACCGTGCCTCCTCCCTCACCCCCGCTTCCACAGGACTCCCAACTGACCCCCGGAATCCCTGCCCTGGTTGGGCCCACCGTGGCATACCTATGTGCCGCCAACAATCCCTGAACAGCACCCGCCCCGTTCTCCACACCACAGCAGACACCTGAGCGCAGACCTGGGCACGCTACTCCTTGCTGAAAACCCTTCACTGGTTCCCCACTACCCTCAACTACAGTATGGCTTCCCAGAGCAGCCCCGACTTCCCATCTCCCCACCCCAGCCTGCCCGCGCGCCTGCAGAGAGAGCTGCTGAAACTGACGCAGCTGCCTTCCCACCGAGAGGCCCAGACAGACGCAGCAAAACCTACATCTCGCATGGGTTGCAAAAGCTGAAAGTAAATTACCAAGAATTATCATTAATTTTTTTATGCTCCACAATACAGAATAAGGAATAGCTGTACTTGAGTTGGCCCACTCACTCTGTTCTAAACTACTACAGGGCTTTTTAACAAAAGCAGAGTGTGTTACTATGGAATGTGCAACACGGTCCAAAACTGTGAAGAAAAATGAATCATCAAATGTAAGATTTGACCAACACTGTTGAAAAGTTTCTTTCTTCCTAATTACCTCCCCACCAAAAAAACTTTCTTTCTTAAAACGCCTTTCAAATTTCTTTAGGTTTCAATTACATGTTTACCCTTTAGAAGACAGGCCACTGATCAAGCAGGTACCAGTGTTTTCCCTGTGCGCTCTAAGCGTCTTGCCAGGAGGCAAAGGTTTGCTAACAGCCAGGCACTCACTCACCAACCCGGCCGCGCCTTCTCCTGTGATACTGGCCCACGACTTTGTAACACTGAAGCTTCACGTCAGTCACCCTACTTGGTGACGAGAAAGGCAGCGAGCAAGTCGACAACTCCCGAGGCTCAGAGCCTGCAGCCGCAGCCCCCTCCTCAGGATATAAATTAGAGCAGGAGACTCAGAGCCGTGTCTGACAGCAGTGATGCTCTTTACACCTTGGGCTTCCTCGAAATTCTGTTCATGGCGCCTCCACTCAGATGCAAGTCCTTTCCAGGTTATTTCTGCTAACTTTAAAATACTCAACCATTAATCTAAATCACAAAACCCTAACACTAACCCTAACCACACGGATGTATTCTTGAGACCACAGCCACCTGGGTGGAGCCTGAAACAGTAATTCACTTGCGTGAATCATCACTGAGTCATCAGAAACGTTCAGTTTTCAGAACCACCTCACAATTTCCACACCCGTTTGGCAGTTTTGTAAAGCCACAGCATTTGGTCAAATTCACGGGTATTTCCACTTTCAACCCAGAACAGTGGCTGCAAGCACCAGCAAGCTCCCACTAACTCGCGGCAGTCAGGAGCACACACAGGCAAGTCCGCGCTGACACGCACGCGTGCTCACCTGAGTGCATACGTGTAGCCGGTGTTCTCGGGCACACACTGCGGAGGGGCGTACGTGTGGAGCCGAGAGAAGTCCATGGTCACCGTCTCAGCTCATACTGCAGGAGGCGGGAAAGCAATGCAGGCGGTTAGAGGTGGAGCACACAACGCTGGGTCAGCCCAGCACACACCCTGCCTGCCTAAGATGTCAGTGCCAACACCTGCTCAGACACCACCAGGAGAGCAGGTGTTCGCTTTGTTCTGTTTTGCTTTTTAAGCCAGGGAGACGAGTCTTCTCGTGGTCCAGGTCTGGAACGTGGCTTTTATACTTAGTGCCCTAAAGCGATAAATCTACAGAAGCAACAAGGGAAATCCTCGGCAAGACTGACACAAAACTATGAAAACTGGGGCATTTGCCAAAGAATACCGGAAGCACTCAGACCCCTTTTTAGAATGTAGTTCCAAATTCCTGAAGGCGTCGCACGTTCTCATTCTCCTAAAGTAAGTTTACTGTCTTTAAGGACAACAGAACTGACCCTTACCCCAGACCCCAAGCACTCCCGCACCTTCCCAGACAGCGGCGCTTCTCAGAGTCAGAAGCCGCAGGGGGAGTAACAGATAACCTTAAGCACTGCATACTTCTACTTTTCCCCAAAGGAAAACACAGATTATTTTTAAATTAAAAAGTGTCGAGCATATTGTTTTTCAGGTTGTCATCTAGACTTCTTTGGAATGACTCAAACTTTCCTCTGGCTAAAAATAGTCACACACACTCAGAAACAAAACAAAACACAAACAAAAAACCACACCCTCGTAGAAATGTGAATCATAGTCTGTTGTTGAGAAATCAAGAAAGATAAAAGTAAAAATAAAGACTACCTGGACAAAAAACATTTAGGTATAAACGACTTCTATAAACAAAGCCAAAAGTACTTAAGTTCACCCCACAGTCTTTGAAATAGTCCAAATATTCTTTTAAAAATTAGGTACCCACAGAAATAAAGACCACCATTCACAGATAAAAACTGTAGTGTGTGCCCACTAATTTCACACCCGCCGGCTCTTCTCAGGACCTGGCCCACAGCCCAGGGAGAAGTGCAAGTCATTCTACTAATATACACTTAAACCTTTCTCCAGGTAAAATGATCTGACGATTTAACCCATGTATCCGTCCAGTACCTGCTCACTCTGCCTAATCTAAGCAGGTCCACCGCACAGACACTGAGGAACGCAGCCGGAGAAGAGGGAACGGAGCCAGCCTGCGGTCTCCGCCCGCACAGGCACCCTACGCCCAGCCACCTCCAGCTCAGCCAGGGCCACGCCCTGGCAGCAGTGTAACAATGGCTCTGACTGCGCTGAGGTTTAGCCACGACTCACTAAGCAACCGTAACAGTATCAATGCCCCATTGCTGCCCTCAGCCTCAAGAGAACCAATTTTTGAAATTCCCTATTACCTACTGGCTAACGAGACCCAAACTTCCTGATTTCATTCCCAAAGTGAGCTTTCACTTTAATGTTTCATTATACCTGCACTGCTGACCGATATTCAAACCCAGCTGTTCTAACTGCTGCTGATTTCTACCAACTCCTCTACAACCGGCATTCAGTTGGTCCTCAGTGAGCTGAGTATTTCTTGGATCGGTTTACAGTGTTATAAACAAGCGAGTGGCAGGTGCCAGAAAACCAAGTCCTGCAGGCAGCAATGAATTCACACGTCGTGACTGGACATGGAGACCCAGAGCACGCTGTGTGGGCGGTGGGGGGCGCAGCGCTACTGACAAGGCCACTTAAAGGGTCAGAGGCGTAGAGGGAGCCGTGAGGGCCCGTGAGGAACTGCGCCAGGACTCACAGCCTTTTTATTTTAAAGTTACATCAATATGTTCTCACACTTTACCTAAGAAAAATAGACCGGTTAATTTCAAACGCATAACAAATGGTGTTTTCAAAAGCCATCAGAGGTGCAGGACCAGTGACACCCACACAGTCCGACCTGGTGCCTCCCATCAAGGAGACACAGAGCCGGGTCATCCTACCCTGGTCGGGTCTAATGTAGGCCTTATGCCACAATTTAGAAAGAGATCTAACTCCTTGTTTCTGACGTAAAGGAAGTGCAGCTACTGGCCATCCGTCCAACTTCCTATCAAGGCCAAGACCACAGCAGAGGGGCAGGGAAAACCCTACAGGCGACAGCAGAGACGCAAGCTGAGTGACAGACTCAGCAGCAGGTTTTTGGTTAAATGTGTTATGACAGGAGCTGCAAACGGACTGTAGGGCCCAAAGGCAGCACACCGAGAGCACCAGCCTGGGTGCGCACAGCTCAGCACCCGGGCGGCGCAGCCGCAGGGGAAAGGCGGGAGGGCGGCGGAGGGAGACCCGGGGTCTCAGCCGAGCAGCTACTACAGCGAGGAGAGCAGTGATTACACACCCTCTTTTCTGCTCATTCTGACTGTGCTTCGGTGACCACGTGAGTGTCATGTCTGCTCTCCAGTCAAACACACCCGCGTATAAAGCTACATGAAGAATCGGTCCCTGCTTAATCAGACCCCGGGCCTAGGGAAATGCCATTCTGGCCATGACTTGCTCCACAGCCCAGAAAATCCCTGTCCAAGAAGACCCCCCAAAGCAGCAGTGGCTGCAGAGGCCACGGCCAGCTCGATGCAGAAAGAGGGGGACCAGGGCCCCGCAGGGGCGCACCCCACCAGAACTCACTTGGCCGTTCGTCTCCACACCAGCCTTCTCCTCAGACGACCCTGCTCTCTTTCTTTCTCCCTCAAAAGACTATGATATTGATTCAGAATAGTTTAAAATTAACCTTTAGTTCCTTTCATAAGTGTGAAAATTAGATAAAATTACAGGGTAAAATAAAATGAAATAAAGTAAAAGAAAGTTAAGTGAAATGATGCACGTAGGCAGGGCCTGATGCATGACAAACACCCAGAAGTCAGCATTTATCATTTGAGGGAAAATCTTATACAGCCAATGATTTACATTTTTTTTAAGGAACAAACTTTTTTCCTTCTGACTTAACAATCTCTGAGATGGAAGATCCACTTGCCCCTGACCTAAATAAAAGACAAAGTCCGCTGGAGCTCTGACTGCTCCACCTTGGAGCCGACAGGTTAGTAGGCCAGCTCCGGCCTCTCTCAGAAGCTGATCAGAACACCGAACAGAAGTGCAGTTTCAAGACAAGTTCTAAGTTCTACTGACAGCCAACGCAAGCACTTAGCACTTTCAACATGCTGCCCCAGCTCCACTGACGTCACTGCTAATTAAAGCCCACACATAACCCTAGAGCCTCCTCCTGACCACACGGCCTGAAGCAGCCTCAGCCTGTGACTCAAGGGAGATCGGGTTCGCATTCATACTCTGAATAGCATGGCGAGAAAGAGTGAAAAATGGACTGAAGACGTTTTCAGTGGCATCAGAAAATCCTGGAAAGAATCTGTGTGTTTACAAAGAGAGGCCCTGTCCAGGCCCCACTGTCCTCATCTCTCTAGACCCTTCCAGGCCGCTCATCTCCCCAGGCGTCACGACTGGTATGACCTCCTCACGGGCCCCACTCCTCCTGAGCACCCTGGACCACAGAAGGGGGAGGCTGCACAAAGGAGTGGGGCTCAACAGTGAGCCCCCAGGCCAGTCAGCCCAGCAGACAGGGATGGGGGGATCTGTGGTGCTCAAGAACCTTCCCTTGTCTCCAGAAGAGTGCTTTTCAGGGTGGACAGCTTTTGATTTTGAGCTGCCCGTCCTAACGGGGAAAAAGCCCTCACCTCAGCAGACGGCAGGCCAAGAGTGACAGCTTCAAGTGGAAGAGGAAGCTCTGCCTAAGAACTACCCAAAGTGTCTCCCTGTCACCCGCTCTTACCAGTGGCTAAGAACATGAGCCAGCGAGCACAGGCGAGAGGAGAGGTCTTCTGTTTAGGCTGCAAACTTTGGTTTCAAACCTAAGAGTGTAAATACGCATCTTTACAGACATGCAGATCCCAGCAGGGTTTTAAAATCAGAGCTAAGATTCTTCTTAAGTTACACTTGGTTCTCCTCTGATACCCTTTACCTTGCCCCGTACACACAACATGTAATATTCCCATCACGCCCTAGAAATGAAGTACAAAGCTCAGGTTTTGTTCTCGAATACTTTGGTCAAACACAGATTTTGGCTCCACCACCACATATAACCTGAATCTCAACTATTTAGAAAGTCTGTACTAATTCTGTGACGACCTAGAAAACACGCCTGGAAAGTATCAATGATGACAAGTCACAAAGGCTTGGAAACAGCTCGAAGCAAACGGCAAAACCACAGCAACAGCATAAAAGTGCTAACAGTTCTCAAGTAAAATCAGCACACGGGATCTTCTTAGGAAATGCTACCAGTGGTAAGGAAAAACTAGAAAAGGCAGACTTTAAGGTCGGCCAGCAGCATTGCTTCTCTCCACATAAACACAAGGTATCATGCAGGGGAAACCACTTTCATTAGACAAGCATAAGACAATCAGAATTTGCTCCAAAGGCACTGTGTTTACAAAGATAAGCAAGTTACAGACCCAGCTTTCTAGTAACCAGGGGAGTCACTGAAGACATGGGAGCCGGAGCCGGAACCGGAACCAAAACGGCCGCACAGCTTCCCCACAGACGCCTCATCGGCCCCATCCGAGTGGCACTCCACCCCAGAAGTGACCACAGAACCTGCAGCCCGTCTGCAGAAAGAACAGCAGTTCGAGGGGGCAGTGACAGGCAGCGCCCTCCTCCTGCTCTGGGCACGGCTCCAGACATGGCCATCTGCCACTGGTGCCGTCTCCATCTCCGAGGGGCACTCTGGGCTGACAACAGGCAGTCCCTCAAGCCCCCCCCCCGCCCGACACACATGCAGGCGAACCCCACCCTCACCACTCCTCCATTGCCCAGGGCTGGCTTCGCAAGGCCCTGCGCAATCAGGTGTTCCACCGTCACGTGTGCCGTGGAGAAGAGCCTGGAAACTAAAATCCAGAAGTGCACCGTAAAAAGTAGTGCTAAATCTTAACATAAGTACTCTGCTCAGACTTAATCCTATTAAAACTAGATAATGCAGAGACTTAAAAAAGTTATTTTTCTCAACAGATTAAAAAAAATCATAAATTGGGTTAGAAATGACTGTTTTCCAAAGATCACGTTCAATGGAATTACTTCTACAACACAACAAACTGGAATCGGTATCACATATCTTTTCATTTTAAAGAAGCAAAACATTGTTAATTTACGAAAAGCTATGGTTTACGATGATAATCTTTAAAAATGATAATTATTTAAACAAGAGAATCAGAAACAAATGACTACAACCTAAAAATATTTGGAAGGGCTTTATAGAGTGCTACACGTGTTATATATATACTTGAATATGTTTTTTAAATTTCTGGAAAAATATGACAGTAAACTTAATGGTAAATTATAAGGGGACACCTACTTTTCACTTACTCCCTTTGTTACTACTCAAAGCAGTTTTTAAGGAGTAAATCTAGCTCATAATTTAAACAGCCCAGCAATTATTATTTCCAAAACAAAACTGCTCTTCGTTTGTGAAGCAGCCTCGACCCTGGCTCCTCCACTTACTCTGCTGCAAGAACTGTGGCACCACTGCAGGGCACACGCGGTCCCACCCCGGGCGCAGCTACAGGATTTCGTCAGTTAAGACGCCCAGCCTGCCCAGCGCCGCCTGGCACGAGGCGGAAACACTCGACAAGACCCAGCTGTCAGCAGCAGCAACTCTGTCCGGACAGTTTCTAGCCACGATCCCCTGAGTCTGTCCTCTCTTCGGAAATGATGGAACAGGAGGAGAAGCAGGCTAGGAGGGTCTTCTTCTGACTAGCCATCATCAAGCACACTAGCTGAGCTTCAGGGCAAATGCCTCCTTCTGCGCGAAGGTGCCTTATCGCATGCTTCACCTGCCAGCGCTTCGGTCAGAGCCACGTTTCCCCTCCGTGATGTTAATCAGTGTTCCGAGGTCAGACCATGTACTGTCACGGGAAAGGGCCTTTCTTTGTAGAACACAGAAAGTATCAGCAACATAGTTTTATCATTTGCTTCAAACCTAGAACACGCCGAATTTCCTTACAACCAGCGCTGTTAGAAGAGCGCTACCTCCCCTGGCAAGAGCTCAGGTACCAAGTGGCCGGGCCAGTGGTGACTCCGGGCTCCCCCCGACACTGGAAGCGTCCGACACCTCGGGGCCACCCTGACAGGCACACGGTTCCTGCGCTCCTTCCTCGTCTCAGATGCCCTCCTGGCTTCTCAGTCCCCACTCCTCGGTCTCTTTCCACCCCAATCGCTCCCAGATAACCTCTCCCCTTCCTCAGGATACGGCTGAGATACCACCTCCACGAAGCTCTCCTGGATCCCCCAAGCCCCCATATCCACGTTAGGTGCCAACTGTACTGCTCCCTGGCATTCACCACTTAACAGAAATGGTAATATTTATTGATTAATGAGCCTTCCTCTCCACCTAGACCATGAATTCTCTGAGGGCAGGAGCTACCCTGCCCTGCAGAACCAACGAGCGGCTTGCAGGTGCCCAGAGAAGTGGGAGAACCCACTGCTATCATGTTGTGTTGCCATTAAGCTGAAAACAGTCCTGAGCTGCCCTCGCCCTGATCTGCTCCGTGTCCGACCATACCATGGAAAACTGCACCCCCTATGCCAGACAGATTCGGGAAGAGCAGGAAGGGTCGCGGGCATCTGGTCTCCTCCCCTTCTCCTCATGGATCTGAAGCACTTCTGACGTTTCCTTACCTAATCAGAACAGTGTGGTCAGCTGTCTTATTTCCCACTATAGCTGGGAATGATAACTAGAAACAGCAGTCCCAGGACTTCATTTCTACTGTGAACATAAACACTTAATCCACACCATTTCTCCACCACCCTTTTAAGGCTCTGCCCTCCCAGATGGGAAGCACCAGGCTAAAAGTGAGTGCTTCCCAGTACTGAAAAGGTTGTCTGTAGCATAAACAGTTAGGGAAGAAATCTTTAAATTGATCTTGTTTTCCGTATTCTAGACATAGCTCCCACCTTCCAATAATACTGATTACAGATGAGACAAGTGAGCAGAGCAGCGAAGACCAAGGCCAAAAGGCAAAGCACCGCTTTTTGTCTTCAGGCCACACAGGCCCCTGGGAGAGCCCCTCAGGTTCCATCGGGAACCTCCCATCTACACCTGATTACTTTCAGGCTACTGAAGTCTGCGCTTTTATTCTGCACAAGTGTCTAATACCATCTGTCACACGGTCCTTATTTCCTAAACTAAAATTCACAGCCAGTGACCATTCACCAAGTGCCCGCACGAGACTAAATGAAAAACAAAGCATCCAACTAGCAGCATGATTACAGATTAAAATTCAAACTGCAAAACCAACTAACGAATCACACAAATCACTTAACAAAGCAGAGTCACTTACAGTATGTGATTACAATAAACAGCACGTTACAAACAGCAACGTCATGGTCTGCATTTTCCATCTGTCATCCTAAGTTCCTTGTGGCCCAAAGGAAGTAAACAGTTTCAAACGCAGCTCCGCAGTCTCGTCTCCTACACGTGGGAACCCAACAGGGTCAGCTGTCCATACTAGCAATGAGTCCAAAGTTAAAAAGCAAGAGGAAGAAAACTATGGTTACCATCAACAAAACATTACCGCAACCCCCCTGCAGGCAGCACCGAGCCCCACACCCACTGAAACAGTCCCAGCGACACCACCTGTGCTGGTGCCACCCCTATCTTGTTCCCACCTGTCCTGCAAACCCCGGTGTGGGTGCTCGACTCTGATGTGTTCGGGACCACTCAGCCTGAATCAGCACTGGATGCCAAGAAATGCCCTGCGATTCCTGAGCTCTCACCTCACCGTGCAATATTCAGGTAAGGCCAGGTGTTGCAATGCTGCAAGATGGCTTCACCCTGTGTTACCACCTCTACCAGAAGTGCCCAGCATTCACTGAAAAGGATTAAAAAAAAACAGTAGCAAGGAAGTCGGAAACTAGAAAGTAAGGTGGATGAATGAAAACTGACTTAGACTAGAAAAAGCTTAACCATAAGCTTGCATGAGGAATACTGAAATAACCCAGTTTCCACTGTGGAATCCCCAGAGGCTTGTGATAGTGACACCTGTGTATTTGGAAGTGAGAGTGTAGAATGGAACCAAAATACGGGATAAATCGAATGATCAAAATCTCTTCAAGAAGCAGTCAGGCAAAACCATGTGATCATCTCAACTGGTGCAGGAGAAAAACCTGTCAAAATCCATCACTTTCATGACAAAAACATTCAGCAAGCTAGGAATAGGAGAGAACTTCCACAACCTGACAAGGGGCATTTACTAAAACTCACAGCTAACACCACAGTCAACCGTGAAACACCGAACACCTTCCCCGAAGATCAGCAAGAAGACACGGACATCGCTTTCACCACTGCTATTTAAGACCGCACTGGAACTCTAGTCAGAGCCACTAGGCAAGAGAAAGAAACAGATGGCATCCAAACCGGAAAAGAAGAAGTAAAACTACTTCTATTCACAAACATGATCCCATACATTAAAAAATCCTACAAAATTCCAAAAAATTATTAGAATAAACAAACTCGGCAAAGTTGCAGTATATAAGATCAACACACAAAAATGAGTTGTATTTCTATTTAGTAGCAGCAAACAATCTAAAAACGCCACTAAGAAAACAATTCCTCATATGACTGACTATTATGCTGTACACCCCAACTGACACAACACTACAAACCAACTACACACGTCGATGAAAAACAAGGAAAAAAGAAGAACAATTCCTCTTACAATCGCATCAAAAAGAACAACAAACTGAGGACAAAGTTAACTAAGAAAGTACAAAACTGGTACACTGAAAACATTGCTGAAAGAAATTAAAGAAGACATAAATAAATGGGAAATCATCCCCATTCACATGCTGGAAAATTTAATATTGTTAACACGGCAATACTCCCCTACCCAAGCTGTAAATTTAATGCAATCTCTATCAAAATCCCGATGGCTTTTTTTTTTTGCAGAGTAAAGCTAACCCTTTTAATTCATATGGAAATGCAATGGATACCACACAGCCAAAAACAATCTTGAAAAAGAACAACTTTGGAGGACTCACACTTCCCAATTTCAAAACTTATTTACTACGAAATGAGGACAGACACACAAACTAACAAGACAAAATTGAGAGTCCAGAAATAAACCCATACATTTAAGGTCAACTCATTTTCTGAAAGGACACCAAGACTAATCAATACAGAAAGGACAGTCTCTTCAACAAGTGGTGCTGGGATACCCGGACATCCACATGCGGAAGGATCAAGTTAGACCCCTACCTCACACCACACAAAAAAATTTACTCAAAATGGATTAAAGGCCTAAACCTAAGAGCTAAAGCTATAAAACCCTTAGATAAAACACAGAGGTAAATCTTCACGACCCTGGATTTGACAGCTGTTTCTCAGATGACATCAAAAGCACAAGCAACAAAGGAGAATACCGATAAATCTGGCTTCGTCAAAATTAAACCTTTTGTGCTTCAAAGGACACTATCACAGAGTGGAGAGCCAGCCCAGAGAACGAAAGAAGGTACATGCAAATCACATCTGATAAGGGTCTAGTGTTCAGAAAATACAAAACACTCTTACAGTGCAACAAAAAGGCAAAAAACCCAATTAGAAAACGGGCAAAGGACTGGAATGGACACGTCTCCAAAGAAGATATTCAAATGGCCAAAAGACCATGAAAAGATGCTCAACATCACCAGTCATTTAAAAATGCAAATCAAAAGCAACACAAGACACGGCCTCCCAGTCACTAGGATGGCCACAACAGCAAAACGGAAAGTAAGTGTTGGAGAGGGCGCGGAGAAACTGGAGCCCTTGCACACCACTGGTGGGAATGTAAAATGATGCAGCTACTGTGGAAAAAAGTCTGGTGGCTCCTCTGTAAGTTAAATATAGAGTTACCACGTGACCCAGCAATTCCACTCCTGATTATACACTCCAACAATGAAAACAGATGCTCAAACAAGAATGTGTACACAGATATTCACAGCAGCAGTACTGATAATAGGCAAAAAATAGAAACTCTGATGTTGAATGGACAAGCAAATTGTGATATATTCATATAATAAAATATTATCCAGCCGTAACAAAGAATGGAAGTTCTGACACATGCCACAACATAGATGAACATTAAACACATTATGCTCAGTGAAGAAGCCAAAAGAGGCCACATGTTGTATGAATCCATTTACATATAAAATCCAGAAAAGGCAAATTCCTAGAAACAGAAAGGAGATTAGTGGCTGCCAGAGGCTGGGAGCAGTGGACTATGGAGTTGACTGCTAACAAGTACCAGTTTCCATTTAAGGTGATAAAAAACCCTCTACAACTGGATGGTAGCGACGGTTGTGAAGCACCAAGAATGTACTTAAGGCCAACGACCTACACAGGTAAAAAACACAAATTCTATGTCGTGTGTTCCACCACAATAAAAAGAAGCACACGGCCACCGTGCATGGATGCCCTGCCTGCCCTCCCCCAGAGACTGGAGCATCAAACCAAGGGTTCTCAAGGGGAACAGGTGCGTTCCAGGATGCCTCCCTGAAAAGCAGGATAAGGGAGCTTTTCCTGACTGATTTGCGAAGGCCACATCCATACTCTCCTACCCAACTTCTCAAATGAGGCAGGAGACTGGAAAGCCCTTCTCTGGGAATCTAAAAGGCCCAAAAAAAGGATCTAAGGACAATGACACTGAGTGTCCCTGTAGGAATCCCAGCCCGTCCTATCAGCCAACAGTGACAGCAGCCACGCAGGTGCACAGAACCTGCAAAGCACTGGGCAGGGCCCACTCTCAAACGCGTTCAACCAGAATCACCTGACGTCTCAGGAAGGGCAGGCTCAAGGGGGCAAAAAATGAGGCTATGGAGGGAGAATGCGATGATGCTACCGCATTTACGAAATAACATGTTACCAAATTTTAGATGGAAAAAAACCCCATCACCAAAAGCGCTCTGGGAAATTTAAAATATGACGGCCAAAATGAACTGCTGAACAAGTGAGTTGGAAGAAAAGACCGAGAAAGCTCCTAGAAAGTCGAACAGAGAGACGAAGATGAAAGAACACAAAACCGGCCCAGAGATCCAATGCTCAAAAAACAGTAATTCCAGAACACACAGAAAAAAGAAAACTAAGAAAAGAGAAAATAAAAAGGTAGCTGTGGAAGAAAATAAACAGAAAATTCCCCAGAACCAACCCCCGAACCATCCGAGTTTGCAGACTTGGAGCAGCTATGAAGTGCCCAACGAAAAGCACGCCAACGACCAGGCCCGCGCCCGCCTCGGAG